GATATTCAATTTTGATTTCCTGTTACTGAGTGGGTACTTTTTAAGAGCCATTAAACTCTATAACGATTGTGTGCAAATTTAAAACTCTTTTGTGATACAAGGACCAATTAGATATTTAAAGTAAAGTAAGAGAGTACTAAATTGTTAAAGTCATAAAATAAACATTTTGAAACCATAGTAAGGAAATCCTTTTGTTAATCAGATCAATCAGAGTATTCTGTAAGCTTCAAATCCGAACTATCTGCGATAAAATCAAAGAACTCATTCAATTTACAATTTACTTGGAAGTTTCTAAATAAAATTGTGTCCTTCTGCTAGCTAATAGAAGATGTTTGTATATTTGAATTAAAAAGTAAAAAAATTTAAGCTGCATTAAGCAGCATTTTAAACTATAGTTTAATACTTGCATTTTCATAAAATTAAAAAACATATACGGAGCCGAAGTTATTCCGATTCAAATTTTTTTAATGAAATGTCTCCTTTTAGAGTTGTTCCAAAATGTTCTCTTTTTTCCAACAAAAAATGCTTTTTTTAAAAAAAAAATGATCTTTAAGACTTGTTTCTCAGTACTTTGGTATCTCATATTTCATAAATAAACATATTTCTTTTGTATTTTTCTTTTTTTTTTGAAGATTAATTATAAAGTCAGAATTCATTTTTTTCCATTGAATTTTAATTTATGTTACTAAAAATCAACTCCCTATGATTAAAAGAGTTCGATAGTTATGATGCGCAGCTTTTGTTTAATTAGTTCCATTCGTAAAAAAAATTAAGATTTTAGTACGGAGAATCATACCTGTTTCCTAATGATTTTTAAAAGCGCTCGGTTTTTGCTCAAAGGACAGTATCGTAGTTCATTTGTCGATCATATATGAATAAAAAATTAAAATTCATATTCTTGAATCTATTTCAACAACATCTTTTGCTTTGATTTTCCCTTTTATAGCATAACAGAATTAATAAGAATAACATTAATAAATGAAGAAAAGTAACTGAGTGATTTTGTTAGTTATAGAGAAATATAATATTTCCAGAAAAAAATAAATATAAAAAATTAAATAAATGTAAAAAACTAAATAAATATAAAAAACTAAATAAGAAAAAAAATCTAAATAAATATAAAAAACTAAATAAATATAAAAAACTAAATAAATGTAAAAAACTAAATAAATATAAAAAACTAAAAGTAAAGTGCATATTTCATTTTAAAATTATAATTTTTCCCCAATTTTATTTCCTTTTAGAGAATCATTGATGACTTCAATGGTAATATTTTTTGCAATCTGCCACAATTTCTTAACATGCTGGTATCCAAAAAGATGTTTAGTATGCATTAAACTGAATAAGATTATGTTATAAATGTGCATAATATAACATCCTTCAAAACCGAATGACAGAATTTTGTTTTTAGAACCGACTTACTCCGCTTCAGTTGCTTGGAAGTCTTTGACAAGTGAATAATGCCTTTCATTTTATGCCTGTCACCTCAGGCGAGAGGTAAATAATAAATGATGTAGCAAATAGAAGACGTTATGCTTATGCCAGCTACAGACTCTTTCTTAGTAGATATCTTTTATCTTGATAGCATTTTAAAGCAATTTCCCTAACGACTGTTACGCTATTAAGCTCTTATAGAAACTTATCATAGTGAATCAAATGTAGAGTTAAGGTTATTAATTTTGAAAAATATTTGTCTAACAAATGGAGTATAACTTAATTATATTTACTCATACTTCGTATAAACTATAAGAAAAATATAAATATTTACAAGATTGCAAATTTGAAACGATAAAAGTTCCATTGTATAGTTGCTTAAGACTTCAGAAATTCTTATTCAAAATTAATGCTTTTGTAATAAAATTTTTAAAACAGATTCAATTTAATACACTTCATAATTACATTTACTCATTATATTTACTTCAAACAATAACAAAAAAATATAGATTTAAAATATTTCAAATTTGAAAAGATACAAGTTTTATTTTATGATTGTTTTTAATGTTTGAAACCTTAGAAATTCAAAATAATCATTTTGTAACACAAATTTTGGAAATAGATAAAATTTAATACACTTTATGTAAAATAGATTAATCTTCGAACCATTATGACAGTAACTTGAGTCATAATATCTTGTAATCTTGTAGCAACTTAAATAAAGTAAAAAAATTAGCAATATTTCAGTACAATAATTTAGCATAACGTTATATGCTTCAAAAACGGATAACATATTTAATTTTTAAGGCAACTTACTTTACTTAAGTTACTTAGAATGATGCCTTTCCTTTCATACATGTTACCTCAGGGGAGAAGTAAATAATGGAATATGTAACAGACAAACAAGGCCATGCTTACACTAACTGCAGCCTTATTTATATCAATTTAAGGCAATTTTCCTAATTAGTAATAAGTAATTAAGTCATTACAGAAGATGGTGATAGCAAATTAAATATAGAACTTTGAACGGTAGTTTTTTCATTTTTTTTACCCTTTTGTGGGTTATATATATATTTTTTAGACTATGCTAAAGTAAAGAGCAAGGACTAATATGTCTCCATCACAAAAAAATATATATGTATGTAGAAACTTGAATGTGTTTGAAGAGAAATTCTGCGAATAAATTGATAAAAAAGTAATTTCACTGGAAAACCAAGTAATTCCTCCAGATTTGACTCTCGCATCGAGTAAAATGTTGTGCCCCTGAAATTAAGATTTTAGCATTTAATAATTTAAATAGTAGTTTTCTTAAAAAGAAATTTTTAGTACGAAAAATTACTTTAATAAATTACTTAATTGAATTGAAAGCAATGATATAGTAAAATAATTTAATGATGTTATAAATTGTTTCACCATCAAAAAATAGAATTATAGTTACATTTTCTAGCATAAACCATTTCCGCCTATTTTACAAGCAGAATCCAACCCAATATATTCAATTTTATTACACAATTAACACGCATGAACTAAAGCTTACTTCAGCTATATTTTTCATGGATAGATTTTATATATTACGTAAAATACTTTTTTTAAATTTCAATATCGCTTTTGAAATCAACTTACTACCAATCATAATTCAAATTAATTTAAAAAAGAAAACATTTCTTTTCTACTTCCAACAGAACCAAAATTATATATTCATAGAGTACACAGGTTGATATTATGTACGAAACAACAGATTTTGGTCTGAACTTCATGCAAGAAGCATCATTAATTCTCTTATTCCATGCAGTGCAGTTACCGTAAACACCGCTTTACAGGGAATAATATGAAATCTCTCGCTGTTAATAATAAAAGAGCAAAATTTAAATATAAAGGAAAGTTAAAATTTTTGTAAAAAATTGTTATCGGTCTAATTAATCAAGCTTTGAAATTCTGGTTAAATAAATCATTGGGTCTGTTCCTTCACGCTTTGCCGCCATACGAATAAACGCTTTTATATGAAAAAAAATATATGCTTCTTTTGTAAATACCATGTCTTTGTAGTAGTCATTAATGTTTGTAAGGTTATATTTTGTCATTATCTACTGAGTCTTTCTTAAGTTCAATAATGAAAATGGTACAATAGAAAAATATGACAATTTACATATTTTGATAACAAAAAAATGATCTTATTTTTGTTCCTTAAATTATTTACATTTACATTTTTAAAAAGATTACATTTTTAGGCTCAAAAAAATATGCAAAATTCGGAAATAGTTTACAGTTATTAATTTTTAACTAACTGGAAGAATCTCGCCAAATTAGGAATTTTTTTCTTAAACAAGTATTTGATAGATAATTTTCCATACATAAAATAAATACCCGCTTTTACGAAGTGTAAATATTTTATAGGAATATAAATTAAAACATAAAGCCTTGAATCTGGTTAAATGTACTTAGAGTGTACCTCTATTATTTTTTGTCATCGCAAAATAGTTCCAAAAATATTTTCTCATTTTATTCCCTCTCCCCATTAAAGTGACAAAAATTTGGAAGCCTAAAACGTACTGCAGTTTTTTGGAGTTAACGTTATATTTCAACAAACGAGCTTGCAATAAGGAATTAAGTGATTGGAACTGGTATCAAAATAATATATATGTTCCAGCAAATTTACTAAATGTGTTGCTCCTTAAAAATGACAATCTTTCTGCGATTAATACGATAAAAGACTAAACAAAGTACAGAAAAGCTTATTCGATTGGTAATTGTAATATTCGGGTCTTTTGTAGGATATCATTTGTATTAAACTATTTTTATTTTGAGTACATTTGAGAATCAGTTCTCATGAATGCACCTTTGAATTGTTTCGACTTGTGAGTTTAGCTAGTTACAATTAGTTGTCAACGAGTAAACACAGGTCCGGCAGATTTATATCATATAATAAACAAACCTTACTGATTCCTGAATTCCAACGTTTATTTGAGAATGATTATTTACTTGGCTGGATGCTTATTGGCTGGATTGGCACAGTATGTTCTGTTGGATATTTATCCAGACTAAATCTTAAATTTATAAATTTTAGTATCTATAAGCACTATTTATTTGAAGTGTTATCTTCATTTATTATTTATTCGGCACAAATGTGCTTTTAATTTAAATCAACTATTCCTTTTAATAAGTAAAATGAGGAATTATCAATAGTTCGCATTAGATTTCCGCGCATGTTTCATCATACGTATTATATATCTTAACATTAGTTTCGTGTAATGTATGAGCTTGTATAGGTTGTATATTCAAAATGGAAAAAAAAAAATTCGAAAACTTTTTGTACAATTTAAATCAAAAAATTATCTTTAACTAAGTACTTTTAGAAACTTGTTACTGTGATTCGTAACTTCCTAGATTATATTCATGAATGTATGTTCATATCCATGGACTATATTCATAAATTCATTGATTATATGAATAAATACATATAAGTACTTATTCATAAATATGTATTAATAAATATTGTAAACCCATAAGATTTAATATGTACCATCATTGTATTCATATAATTCAAGAAAAAAATAAATAGCACATACCAGTTTTAACAGATACATCTCTACTTCTAAGAGTTCCAACTCTATTGGTAGCTGTACATCGATAAACTGCCGCATGGACATCTTGCCGATATTTATCCGTGTCGATTGGAAAAAATACTAAAGAGTTATCCGGTCTCACTTGCCGGACACCAGGAATAGTTGAAACAGGACTACCGTCTCTTTTCTCCCATCTTACAATGGGATCTGGATGTCCTTGTGCAGAACATGGAATCACAGCTCCTGTGGAATTTGAAAATTCTACTGTCTCTGGTGGTTCATGAATAAAAGTTGGACCGCGCGTTCTTCTACTCAGTCTATCACTCAATGCTGAAAATAGACAGAGAGGAAAACAGTTAATTAAGTAAACTTATGGAGATTCATAATTATATTACATTATTATAATTCTAACCTCACAGTCAAATGTCTTTTTATTTTTATATTAATTAAAAGCGTGAAAACATTTTGATTATATAAAAAGCGTTTTGTTAAAGGTATTAAACTGTATATCATGTTAAGTACTCAACCTCAATATAGCTTAACTGCTAGCTAGATGCACTGAAAATAACGCTGTTGATGTTGATCAACATCCCCACTAATTAAGTATTAATTATTTAGTTAAAAAAAATTCGATAAATAATTACCTAATTAACTGAATTATAAACTAAAATAAATAAATGTCCCTGTCACAAAGTTAAGTAACCTAGTAGCAAAGTAACTTGGGCTAACATTGGGCCAATATTCCTGAATCTTGGCACAGTAAGGGTTTAAAGGGCCTTTATTTTTCCGATATTGGCCCTATATAGAATTTCCGATTCACCCGATATTTTACAGTCACTTTACAACCAATATCGGCCCTATTTGTAAAGAGGACAGATATTGTATATTATCTTGTGAATCTGAAAATTCTATAGAATTTTCAGATTCACAAGATATTTTATATCTATTATTTAGCTAATGTAGGTTCTATATTGGCCAATGTAGACCCTGTATAGGCCATTTTAGGACCAATAATAAAAAATCTAAACATCCTTATATTTTAATACATCCTCTTATGGGACCCTTATTGAGCCAATTTTGATCCAACAGGGGCCAGGGTAAAATTATTGCTATGGTATATTAAAAGAAATGAAATATCTACTTCTCCGAACCAATCTATTGTTTTTTGATAATTTTTTATGCTTGTTTATTTTATTTTATTTTGCACTGAATTTAGCACTTAGATAATAAATTCATTTGATTTGAGTTTCGTACTGCGTAGCCACATCTAACTCTCATAACATAAAACTATGCATTCAACTTTACTCACTCGTTTTGTAAATCAGACTTTAATAATTTCTTTGAAAATACTTTTTTTCTTAACTGTTACAGAAATGACGGAGTAGAAGATAAGAATAAGGGGCAAAATCTTCACATTTTGAATAATTCAACAAAATATGCAATTGAAATAATACTAACAAAAGATGCGACTACAATCACTTTTTACGCATAATCTGAACATAATCAAAGTTCTTAAGCCATTCATTTCTTATTTTCCCAAACTATCACCCCTTACTGTAAAATAATTTCCTTCAAAAATGTGACTATGTTACAAATGAGAGGCATTTACACCAGCTCCAAATGGACGAACTCCCAATTATTTTCCTGCTGTCACACGAAACTAATTACAATTTAAATTTATATAAGTGACAACCAGACCAAAAACTGCATGGGGAAAAGGAAGTTAATGAACTCAGAATGTAATAAATGAGACAAGAAAATATATGTTTCTCAACTAACTCATTTAGTCTGGGTTTTAAGCCCACCAATTATTGCACTTTACTATTTACAACATCTGTCCTGTATTCCTGGGATTTTCAGGGCACTTTTATTATCCATCTCCGCTCCGTATTCATTAAAAACAGCGAGCCCGTAATGCGTCTTAATGCCGCAACATTACTTGGAATTTAAACAGATTGGTTTACTTGAATACGAAATTACTATAGAGATTTTTTATGCATAAGAATATAATTAATTTTGTTGTATTATGGTATAAGAAAATTAAACCTACTATTTGATTTCAGAAAATGCTTGAATTATTTAATAAATTCAGTTTTAATAATTGTATAAGAGATGCAAGATAGAAAAAATATATTATAATTAAATGCCAGTTATACTTGATTAAAGAATTTCATTGGTTTCACAAATATGAAGATGAAAAGGGGTATAAATCAAAACGTTTCAAGTGCTTAAAACAATTTTTTGACGACAATTAAGTTTTTAATCAAGTACATCTTACCGCCTAAATTTCTCGAAATTTAACTAAGAAATTAGCTAATATTCATCATTTTTGTTCAGATGTTCGTTATAACCATTTTACATGTTAAAAACGAGCTCAAAAAATGACGAAACGATATTATGAGTTTGATACTTCTTATGTTACTCAATGTCAATATAAGTTTTTTCAAAAGCTTCTACCAGTAAGTTATTTATGCAATTTATTCCAATGAATGGGAAAGAATAGGAATGCGCGTTGCATTCTTAATATTTAAGAACAGCACGCCCTCAATGCATACTTCACGGAGAAAAAAAAAGCCTGGTAAAATTACTGTACTGTATGAAAATAAAATTACTGTTGAGGAAAACCATAAATCTAATTATTAAAAGCAAAATATGTAATATTTAAGCCCTCAATTTGGTAGTTTTTCCATTCTATGGTAGCGGTTTTGCGGAAACTCTGGTTTGCGAAATTATTGTTCTTATTACCACACATTTAGTAAAAGAAGTCAAAACAAAAAAGTAGGCGTAATTAAATAACTGATTTTTATGTCATGCCCTAAGGTGATAAAATTACCAAATTTTATCACTTTTAAAAAGCTTTATATCACACACTATAAAATCACATTTTATAGTTAAATTTACCAAGATCATAACAAAAACGCTTCTGTAAATATTACTGAGCTATTTGGTGCTCCCACGGAAACAATAAATTTTTCCATGTTCTGGTAATTTTGACCATACTTTTTTCTCCTCATTGTTTATTAAATTTATGTGAAAAAATTTCCTTTAATTTTTAGCTATATCTATAGCACACAACCATAGCTTCGTTGTACAGTACGTCGATAAAAACGAAACAATAGGGTTTTCCAGGTGTAACCTCAAACATAATAATTAGTTAGTGCAGACGGTATTTTAAGTTACTAAGTCAGACACAAAAACGCATTTTCTCTGAAGAAACATACCCTTTTTTTTACAAATGATTCGGATTTCTGAATCCCGAAACATAGGGGTTATGGGAAATATGGATTCCATAGCTTAGTAAGGGAAGCGATTCAAAGTTATATATTAATTTTATTTTTTGCATATTTCACCGTATTTCGAGAACTTTTTAAGCGAATAAAAAATTGTTTGTATATAATTATAAAATTCGTTTATCAGGAGATAGTTCAATGCAAAAAATAAATTTCATTTAATTCTTATTATCTTTTATTATTTTATTTAATAATTGTTAAAAAAATTTAATTGTAAGGTATGAGTTTTTTAAATCATTTTAAAGTAGGTAATTTTACATGGCAAAATGCAAAATTCGGGCGAAATCGGCTAAACAGTTTCTCAGAAATCGAATTTTAACTACACAACTTTTTTTTAAAACTAGATTTCTCAGGCTCAAATTTTGTATTTTGCTATGTAAAATTACGCAAAAATTGCATACCTTACGATTCAGAATTTTTTCGACTTATTATTAAGTAGTACAGTCGTAGATAGATCATGGGTTAGAATCGCCTTGAAGTCAGACTAACCGTGAGAGGTTCCCTTGATTTTCTCTCCATGTAGCGCAAATGCTGGTTAGTTCCATCAAAAAGTCCACCTCGAGTACAAATTTCTCTGAATACTTGATCCAGGAGTTCCCTTGTCATCTGGATTGGATTCATAATTACAAGGCTACATTGTTGAATATTAGTAGTTGTAATCCAAAAAATTGGGTCTGCTTTTCACAGACGATTATAAAATAAAAATAATTAATAAGTAACATGATAAAAAATATTAAATAATAACTGTTTTTTTTGCATTACATTTTCCTTGTATAAACGAAATTTATAATTCTGTGCAAAATGTTTCAATCTGTTTAAAATGTTCTCGAGATATGCGAAATACGCAAAAAATGAAATTAATATTATGAGGTTCAAACTTTGGATTGCACTCCTTACCAAACCTATGGGGAAATTCTTCTCAGACTGCGGCTACCACCGGTATTTTGGAGGCCAAAAATACAAATACCTTAGATAAAGGTATGTTTATTCAGAGAAAGTGCACCTCTGTGTCTGATTTCGAAACTTAAATCTTGTCTGAACTTAGTAATTAGAATATTTGAGGTTGCTCCCTTGAACCATTAAGATTGAGTCCTGGGCTGACTATTTTTTTTTTTTGTCGCACTGCACATTGTGAAATATTTGGTATATCTTTACGAGTATGATGTTGAACTACCTGAAACTTGGCTGAAAAAAAAGCGTTAAAAATACGTTAACCTGAGAAAAAATATATGAACATGATTAAGAAAAAAGAAGTTTTAACTATATCACAGCAAGTAAGGTTTGGAACTTACGTACTTGGAAATAAAATTGTTTAAAAAAACAAACTTTATTTAATATTTCATATTCTTATTTTCAAAATTGTATTGCCAAGTAGGAGATAAAGCTTTTGAAACTCGACTCATTTGTCCTAATGTCTCTTTATTTTGTTTGCTTCTTCAAAAGCTAAGTTCAATCTTCATAGGCTGACGTGCCCAAGGGGGGCCTAATCTTACTGTGTCCATCTCGATCTCTTGAAATTGAGTTCTGGGGTTCAGGAGCAGCTGTTTCGGCTGGGTGGCCAGCGAACGTTGAATGCACTGCATTTCGTCCCCAAACATACTTGATACTCATTTTATCATTGTAGGAATGAATGCATGAGCAAACTTTGTCCGGTTCGATTATAGGACCTCGGAAACTCAATTTTCGAAGACTGTAGACACCTATTTTCCCTAAACTAATGCATTAATCTTGTTGAAACTTTGTACCTATCTTATAGATATCATTGACAAGTCATTGTACCACTTGTCAATTCTATTTATTTTTTTTAAGTACCACTTATCTTAGATAAAAAGCAACACATAATTTAAGTTTAAATAAAAAATCGTATCTTCTGGTACACGACTTTACCGAAATTTGAAATTTCTTTTTTTCTAAAATTTCTTCTAATCATTAGACTATTCGTTAGTTAAATCATTGGTCTATTCATACTATCTAGAAGATGTTAAATGTATAAAATAAGAGACATTAGTTTAACTTTGTTACTAATATACCAGGCTAATT